TTGACATTAGAATTTAATCTTCGTGATTGAATAGGTCAAGGTCAATGATATACTTTTTAAAATTTTAACTGATTAAATTATGAATCATTCGATTTAAAAAGAAATGTCTAAAATAAAGAATGAGCAGAAAGCTTTTAGACAAGATATTTATTCACTTTTGACGAGATACGAAAGAGTCAAAAGTTATGAGTTAAGACAAGAAGTTTTTGCTCTTCTCGACTTTGACCTCAGAGATTATGTTGAAAGGAGCTCTTGTAAAAGAGCTTTAATTTCAACAATTTTTAACATGTTATTAAAGCATATATTAGAATAAACAAAAACTTACTGGCTCACTAACAATAATTTTTCAGGTCTTTCAAAAAGTTTCTCACTACTTGTGAACAAAAATAGACACAATATTTCTAAACCCATATCCAAATTATGGTCGTGACCTATAGCTTTTGGCTTGTCTGAAACGCTTTCTAGCAGGACAAAATGAGCAAAAATGCTCACCGGAAACGTTAGCTCACAAGTTCCATCTAAACTAATTTTTCAGAGATTATGTCACTGGTCTTAAACAAAACCGACGAAGTTTTTAAGCTCACATTCGAAAGCAGAGACTGAGTGTTCAGCTCGGGCTTAAATTGGCTTGATTAACTTCTTAAAAAAATTCTTATTTCTTTAACTAATAGGTGTTGAATTCCGTATTGCTGAGCAAAAAGGTATCGTGTTAAGCAGTATGAATTTAGATCATACTATAATTATAGCGTCCTGCTCATGACTAAGCTATCTTGTTGAGCACTATGTCATCGTTCTCAGCACTACAGGATGTAGCAAACTAATTAAAGAATTAAGACTTATTATTGCGACAGATGAGGTCAATTTATGCCTAGGCTAAAAGTCTTGTAACCCTTCGAAAGGAATAGAGATTTCTTGTTCGAACTTCTAACTTTTGACTCGTCAGAAATATTTGCCAGCGGATCAAAAGTGAACAAATATCTTGTCTAAAAATATTCCGATCATCTGTTATTTTTAATTAAAACATGAAATAATTTAATATGATAATAAATCTATTCATTATGGTTCATTTCTCTTTAATGATTGTGTCATTATTTCTAAAGCATCATCTAATGTTTGTCCTCGTTTTCTTTCTTCAATTATTTCGTTTCCTAATGGTGTTTTTTCAGCAATAAATTGATATGTTTCAGCAGCTCCTTGAAAAATTTTTTCAGATAAACCAATACTTTCAAATGTTTTTGCTATTTCTTCCATTTCACCAATCCATCTTGCTGCTTTTGGTGGCATATCTGGAATTGATTTATTTAATTTTTCAAATATATATGGCAAACTTTGTTTTAATTCATCGAAAAATATTTCTTCAAGTCCAAAGAATTTTGCTGTTATACATGATTGAATAGTAATTGCAGTTATACCTTTACTTAACGAAGAATAACACATTTTTAATGTACTTGCTTGACTTATTTCATTTCCAATGACACGTACTTTCATTAAATCTGTATATTGAAATAGATCAGCTACTTTTTGTGCATATTCACCAGATAAATACAATGTTGGCATATGTTCATGAGAACCCGGTGTTAAACCAATAATACAACCATCGACAAAATTTCCATCTGGAAAAAGTGTACTTATAGAACGAACTGTTTGTGGTGCTATTGCATTCATATCAACATAGATAATATGTTTATTTTTGTTTAGCAATGGTGCAAAACGTTGTGCAAGTGAATTTGCTTGTGATGGAACAAGAATAGAAAAAATAAAATCAGCTTGTTGAATAATTTCTTCATCTGTTTTAACATCAATAATATCAGCTAAATTTGATAATTTTTTTGTACGTTCACTACGATCTGTTAAATTTGTAATTATACGAAATTTATTTTTATTTGAAGAAAGGAGAACTTGACCGATAGAATGTCCCTGTAAAATATAAAAATAAATATAAAATCTAAATAAAACATGAACATAATTCTCTTACCATATCTCCTGGACTCATTATAGCAATTGTTATTGGAGTTTTTTCGGTCATTTTTGACTTGTATACTGTTGAATAGATAGTAGAATATTTTTAAGGCTCTTGTCGTTCGTTTGCACAAATAGACCTTATAAAGTATCACGTGGAAAGATTCTCTTTTTTCTTTCGACTATCACTACTGATAGGATGATGTTGTTATTAAATCTATTATATTTAAGATCTTTAGAATGTAGATAAATAGTCAAATTTGTTTCATTAGAAATATAAATTTAATAGTATTATTAAAATAAGTAATTTTGAAAATGATGCGTTTTGTATATTTTTTCCATTTGAGTGTATTAGCTGTTTAATTTAGATAAGATTATTTGAAATATAATTCTAGAAGACATTTAGTTTGCGACCTTGTATTTTTTGTGAAACTTGCATTTATTTCCGAAGATAAATAGTAAGTTTCAAGTCAAGGCTTTGCTGTTCTCTCCTTCTGGTTATAGACCTTGCTCAACAGTGTTTTATCTAGGTTTTCCTTTCTGTAGACACGATTTAAAACTCCGGTAAAGCGAATATCTATTCTTGGGAGCGTAGACATACATGTATAGTACATATTACAATAATCACTAAATCCGGAAGAACCAATCTGATCCTCGAAGGGGCACCGTCCAATTGATCCTCACGCTAGACAAGACTTCGATTGTTCTAAAATATTTCAAAGCTTTCGTTAAAATTTGAATCATTTCATTACGTTTGCAAATGTGCTAAATTGTGCAGTTTTTGATTTTTGCACAAATAAAAATTTATATTTAAGTTGACAAGGATGATGGATAGTGATGCATTGATTTACCACAGTCGTCATATGATCAACATAGAAAAGCGTAAACTGATCAAGTTATAACTTTAGAATATACTCAACATTAGTGTTTGTGAGTCTATCGAGATATATGATAGTGTATTGAAACCTGCTGTAAATATAATAGGTTTATTTGACAGTTAAATCAATGGTTAGAATAAAAATAATGTTAAGTTAGGAAAAATAACCAGCAAATAGCAGCGAGGCAAACAAATAATTGAGTACTAGTTAAAAATAGAAAAAAAACTTCTATCCGAAATGCAGAAATAAATAAGACGGATCGTCGCTCTGGTGATCGATTATCTCGGAGAGCAACAGCAGGCTGCGAGAGATTTTTCACTTGACGTATTTTATATTAGTATAATGAGACTCAAGAACACATGTGAGTGCCACATATCAGACAAAAAGGAGTTTCTCTAACAAGCTTTTCAAAACAATAATGAGAGAATCATACAAACACAAACTTTGAATTATCTTTTTCATTAGTAAATATATGCTATATGAGAAACAGATAAAATAACTATCATATATATTTTTGTAATAGGATTCGAAGAACATTGGTATGATTTGAGTTAATTTAGAAATAATCATATTGAGTTCTGAAAGCTAATATTTAATTGATTTAAACAATTGTGGACCTTTATCATTGTGTAAATGGTTGAATGTTTCCATCCGTGCGTATCATTCCAATAGATATACATTTACAAAGATACAAAAAGGCAGCAGTTTGGGTAACCATAATTGATAAAGCATGTTGTTCGCTTCGAACGAATTCTTCTATGTTGCATTCTCTAACTGTTTAACCTTCAGGGACATGTAAGTAACAGACAAAGTAATTATGCTAATAGTATAAAATAGATATGAGAAATGAAGAATGAATATTAGAAACTTTTAGGATATTCTACAAAACATAAATTCTAATCTGATATATAATCAAATAGCTAAATTATTTTCCGAATTGATTTTTCAAATCAATCCTATTTCGCACTCATGAAGAAGGTATTCATGATAGTCGTGAGAAAAATGAAACCCTAAAAAAAAATTTCAATATCATTATAATGATATTCTGCTCATTCAAGTTCGAAGAATGCTGAACGATTCTTAGCTATTGTAACGTTCTCTAATGATATCATGCATTTTTGTTTTGTAAAAATCAAATATTTTGGAAAACGCTGCACTAATTTTTATATAAGAAGAAATAAAAAACTCGTTGACGTCGACTAAAGAAGACGCTATAAAACTTTTCCAGACTTTTTAACTCAACAAGCATAAGTAGATAAAAAAGTGACTTTTATGTTATAATATAAAATAATTAAAATGAACTTCTAGTCAATATGCTTCGTATTCCAATTTCAACAGTTGTGAGTGAATCGATTGCATAAGATGATGTATTTAATAGTCGTTCTTCTACTTGTTTATTTCTTGTACATAACATAGATAAAAGAAAGACAATTAAAAGACATTATAGTAAATAAGTAACCATGAATAAACTGTAAATAAGGATAAGTTTGGAATCATCTTGTAAAAGACGAAATGTTGTATTTTGATTATTAGAATGAATATAGTTTCGTTCGATTACCACCATTTATTATTACTAATCTTAAATCATTAATATTTCGATTTGAAATATTTTCAAGTGATTGAATTACTTTTAAAGTTAATAAATCAAGTGAATCATATAGTTATAATATCCATAAACAATGCAGTAGACGATGATCTGTTCATTGATAGGTTTTTATCGAATAATTTATTGATTACATCAGAATATTTATGAGAAAAATGGAGAAATGTTTGAGTATTATTAAAAATAAATTCTACAAAATTAAGTTTCAATACAGATGAACAATAGTGAGATATTGTTATATTGTCTAATGATATCATTCGTCTATTTGTGGAGCACGTTAAACATTTCTGAAAACCTTTAAGATGATATATAACTATTTGACAAGTTTGTTTAATATTATTTCCTGAATTATGACTGAATTCTAAACATTCTCAATAAATATTTGGTATTAAAAAAAAAAATAAGAAAATAAATTTTATTCATCATTAAAAAAAAGGTAAGAATCGAAAATTCGTTTTTTTTTGTTTTGTTTACTTCTCTTCTTAATCTTAATTTCGTAAAATTTTAAAGAAATTTTTTATTTATCTAATTTCAATATTAATCTTCTTTCTTCTAAAGGTTTAATTAATAAAAGCCAATAATGTCAAGCCAACAGAAATCATAATGAATTCAAATCGAAGAGTAAATGCATTATTTGATGTAGTACTGATAGGACGCATTGAAGAAGTTTTCGTTGTTATGCTTATTGAAGTAGAAGTTTTTGTTGTTGTGCTTATTGAAGTAGAATTTCCTTTACATTCAGCATCACATGGAGGTGAACCTTGACATCCTTTAATATGATTTGCACAAAAAGCGCCTGTACAATTAGCACAAGAAGGAAGATTGATTGCAGGTGTTTGACACATATCCGGATGAGAAGAAAAACAACAAGTGCATGTATAACTATTTATTGTGGACACTCCAATAGTTAAAAATATTAAAAGAATAAGCGTCAACATGTTTCAATGAAGAATAAAAGATAACATATCATCGCTAGTTAGTTATTTTGTATAAAAAAAGGTAGATATGAGATTATGAAAATAAAAAAAAATGAAGTTATTAATTGAGAATGAAATTCATTTCATTGATTATTGTTAACCTAATAAAATAACTGAATGAAATTGTTTTTGAATTTGAATTATTACATAATTGTGAATTACAACAACAAACGATTCCTTTGATATCATTACTATTTGATGATTTACATTTATTTTTAGTAAATAAACCATATGATGCAAAAGAACACATCAATATGGAATCATAAGGTTTTGATGCTGTAAATTGCCTAAGAAAAAACAAAAACTTGACGCATAAATTTCATTATACATACATATCATACACCAGTCAGATTATGATACTAGTGGCATAGCATTTGTTTTATTGAATGGATCAGGACATGTATTCTAACAATTGTAATATTCAATTCCATCAGTATTGTCTATCATAGAAAAAAAAAAGATTATTTAAAAATAAAATATTAATGAGAAACTAGGAAAATAAAGTAAGAATATCAATATGACAATCAGTAATAATTTGTCTATGAGACTCGAGAAATATGTTGAAAATGTATTAGTCTAACGCTTAGACAGCTTTATTTTATATAGACCTTTTATTACGCATTACCATTATTTGTACTTTCTCAGTTTATTGACAAGTCATTCTGATTCAGCTAGATCATATTACTATATTATCAGAATAATGATGTTTACAAAGACAAAACGTAGAAGAACGTAAATAAAAAGAAAAGAAATAGTACACCAATAATGACAAAATAGAAATGGAAGCAAACCAGAATTTCATTCATTCATTCTTAATCAATACGATGAAATGAACTTTCTTAAAAACAAGATGATTTTCACTTGTGAATTAGTGCATTCGACAATAAAAAAAAACAAATTTTCTTTTTACTTCTGCGAAACGTGTGAAAACGAAACAAAGATTATGCGACAGTTTTTCTACTTACAGACTTCATTGTTTGTAGAACTCGCATATACTTTTTGGAGAAAAATCATGGGTGGAACTTTTTAGTCGAAGGTTTCCGGCTTCGCTGTTAGCTCCTAGCAGTCGGAGAATAGGTTGGTCTAACAACCAAAGGCGACATACATAAGATTCCTCTTTATATAGTACCTTCTCTAATGTCCAATTAGAGAAGTATTATACTTTTTTTGATATTCTATGAACATGTATGACTCCATCACTTTAGATTGATGATGTTACCACTGAGAGCATTGCATTGTAGGCAAGAATTTACAATAGAACTACATGTTTTTATAGCAGAAACTATAAGTGTAGAGAATGATAAGCATAAATGAAGAGAAAGGTAGTTTTAGCTATGAAACGCACACTAAGCTGCTATCAGATACCTATTGGCATTTTCCAAACCCCTCGGCATCTTTTACTTATTTGATTATTTTCTCCATAGTTATCGTCAAAACAATACCATTTGTAACTACTTAGCTCTAAATTTATGCTTATTATTCCGTAGTGTGTAGATGTGAAGGTAGTTGTCTTTCGTTCGCTCACATCCATACTAACACGATAACAAAAACGATGGGTGTCCAGTATTGTAACACTTTTGACAACAGTATTCCAAGCCAAAAACCACATTATTAACTTATACTTCCCAATCTTCTTTAGAAAAATATTTTTGTAAAGGTAGAGTTTATTACAGTGTCTCCTAAGTCTACTCAGTGATAATTTCATATGATCACATCAAATGTTTATGACGTATTTTCTGTTTCTTCTATGTTATTCATACTTGATGGGTTTTTTCCTTTTATTTCATATAGTTGGAACTTTCTCTTTTCTCTCATTTATTTGTTCTTTATTATTCATGCAACTTTCTTTTCTTGGTTATTTCCTTCTTGTTTGTTGACCTTTATACAGATTGTAATCTCAAAATAACAAAATATATAGTTTTTGACAAATTTGTTCTTCCTTGTGAAAGGTGACTACTTGAGAGACTCTCATCTTTTCACATAGTGATGCAAGTTTTTAATAGGCTTGTTTTTATTTAAGCAATATAATTGCGTGGAAAAAAGTACTTGATGAAATCTTTTCATTATCATGCCAGGTGAATTAAAATAATAAATGATGTGCAATACATACAGATACTAAGATAAATAATATATGAGACATTTCATTTGATGAACAATGATACTAATATTGTAAAATCATATTGATTTAATACGTATATTTGGTAAAATTTGTACATTTCGATACAATATGATTTTTGCATATGTGTAGAACGTTGTGCTGATAGGAAAGCAGCATTTGTTGCAGTTTATATCATCGAAATAATTATTCTTAGAGCTATTGTTTCATATTATTCAGAAGGGAGAATAAATCAGGAAGAAAACATCCAAAATGCCAAAGATAATTTTTGCGTTGCGAGAAAGTAGTTAATTCTCTTTGAAAATTATAGTAAAAGCAATTTATTTATTAAGTAAAGCTAATTTTTCATAAAATCTTCAAATACAGTTTTCTCTTTTGAAGAAAATGGATCTTTCTTCTAGAAAAACTCGTGAGAAAGCTATCTGTTAAACACATTTTGTTTTACATTTACGCCATCAAAAGTTAAGAAATTCGCTAAACAATAATTGACAAAAATTTTCTGAGTCAAAGGTTGAGTGCAAATGAAAATTTAGCCGAAGAAAATTCTTCGGCCCCTCTCTTCCTTCTAATTGTATGCCATGGAAATAATGATTGGCTTAACATTAATCTTAGACAATGAGTATTCCGTCGATCGTTATGAAGATAAATTAAAAGGCGAACAATGGTAATAAACATACACAAGAACAATGCTCTTTTATTTGTAAAAAAAATAGATATCTGCCGATACACGATCTCATAGAGATCAGAATCAATCGAAATGCATTTCTTCATCATCAGAATAAATTTTTGTTGTTGTTGTTGTTGTTGTTGTTGTTGTTACTGTGAATCAATGTATGTCGGAAGAAAGTTTTAGTAACCAACAAGATTAGTCATTGGTTTAGAGTACACTTAATCCCATTCTAAAAGCCATTTTGTTTATTTATAACTGTGATAATGTAAAAAAACACATCAAAAAATTTATTTACAATTACATCTAGGAAACTATACATGAGTAATGGTTGGAAAAAACCAAAAGGAAAATTCTTTTCTTTCTTTTTCTATGACTCTGTCGACATTGTATAAATACGCAAACAAAAAATACTTATCATTTGTTGGTACTTTTCACAATGATAATAAGTGTACTTTGGCTAGATCTAAATTCTGACTCAGCTGTAAGTTTTCGCAATAAGCTTTTGCAGTACCGATCAGTAAAAATCTTCAATAATGCAGATAACTGTATCGAATACGTAAAATCCCATACGACGCAAAATATCTTTCTTATTACTTCTGGTTCTCTAGCAGAATATGTAGTACCACAAGTATGCCAATATGCCAATATCAAACAGATATTTATCTTTTGTGCGTCGATTGCATCACATACAGATTGGGCGATGGAGTATATTGACCAAGTGTTAATGTTCGATCATGAAGATGATTTGTTGGAACGTTTATGGAATGAAATGGAACGATATTTTCGAGAACAAGCTCAGGAATGTATTCAATATGCAGAAGATTTCAAAGAGCGAGCAAAGCAATACAAAAAACCATCTTGTGGATAAAATTGCTTCTTATTCTTTTTGTCGTTTCAAAAAATTGTAACCGTTACGAGCGTAATAAAAAAATATGACAGTTTGAATCCTTTTTAAAAACAATAAATATGACATTATTTGTGCTTCTTCTTAAGAAGTCCTAACGTAAATAGTGACATGATCTGTACTTCATCTGCGAGCGGACAGAGAAAGAGAAGCGGCCATCACGGTTAGCAATGTGATAACTCTATTTCAGTTCGCAAATGTGAAGCTGTTCGAACAGCTTCGCTTTCTTTAAACTGGAGTTGTTTAACAGCTTATTTGTTATCTGAATGGAAGCTTATCAAACTAATAATAAATTAATAATTCATTCACGATTAGGATCATCAAAATATTTGAGAAACAGATCGAAAGAGTTAGCCACTCTGGTTGACCAGCTCTTTTGAGTTGTCCATCAGCACTTCTGAGATAGTAGCTGTCACACATCTGATTGGTACTCTTTGAATTTATTTTTTTAACATTACAGCGTGCTACTAACATATCAAAAGAATACCAACATTTACAAAATTTACTTTTTACTCTTAGCTAAATCTTTCGTTCTTGGTCTCATGTTTATCTTTGTTCGTACTCTAACTATTTTCATTTCATAATAAACTGAACACTAAGGTTTTTACACTCTTTTGAAAAATCCAACGAAATAAGTCTTGCAGATTACTCTTCAAAACTAGAAAATATTAAACGCTATACTAAAAGTGTCATCTATTAGAAAAGAGATATGCGCGTGCAAATAGTTAATAACTAAAACAGATTCTAACAGCTTATCATTGATTCTATTCGAAATCCTACTTATTCATTTGTAACATTTTATAGTTGTCAAAGATATTATACCATTATTCAAGATAATACAACATACTTGTTAATAGAAATTATAAGCTTTCTATTATCATTAATGGGCATCTTAAATTTCCTGATTAAGGAAGATGATAATTTTAATTTCATGTGTAACATGTTTGCCAGTATAAAATAATGATACGTTACAGTATTTATGGTGTGGGTGTGTATGAAAGAACCAGTATGTACATGGCGCGGGAATGAGGTTGCAAATATCAGTGTTTGGTTAGTTTGGTTGTGGACATACTCAAACAGATAAGAAATTCTGAAAACACGGCTAAATACTCTAATCACAATTTTCATTTGAGCATTTACATGTCGATTCACAAAAACATCAAAACTAACTACTTTCATCATAAAAAGTACGTGAAGATGCTTTGAAAAAACGAAACTTTTGCTTTTGAAAAGTGTAGAAAAGTTTTCTCCGCTATATTTTTACATGTTTT